CACTGCATGTTTTCTCATTAATCGGATGCCCTCTTTTATTCTTCATGGTCGGTCCCCCTTCTCTATCTTGTTTCCCACTTTATCTCAATTTCCATTAACTCCTCATGTCTTTGGCTTGTGTGTTTTGTCCACAATCTGAGTCATGGAATAGACAAGCTAGATGCACGCTCAATTAAATGTGTCTTYCTTGGCTAYTCWCRGACTMAAAAAGGGTACAAGTGTTATAATCCCATTACCCGAAAGTGCTATGTCTGCCCTGATGTCACCTTTTTTGAGTTTGTACTCTTCTTCTCAAGTCCTGATGCACCCTTGTCTTCACCCTTACTTCCTCTTCCTCTTCCCGTCAGTGATCCAGTTCCAGATGCTGTTGCGGGAGTAGACTCATCACCTCATCCAGTGCAGGTCACCACCGAACGACCACTGATCCGACAAGTATATACACGTCGAACGACACCGGCCCCTCCTCCAGCTTCTACCTCATTTGCGGATCCTCTCATGGTTCCTATTGCTGAACCTTCAGACCTTGACCTACCCATTGTCTTACGGAAAGGTAAACGCAGTTCTACCCTCCATCCCATTTCCAATTTTGTTTCATTATCTCGTCTTTCTACCTCACATCGCTAGTTTGTTTCACTTTTGTCCTCTATTTCCATACCTAACAATGTTCAAGAAGCTCTTAATTCACCTGGATGGCGGTGGACAATGGAGGAGGAACTCTCTGCTCTTCAACATACTAAAACGTGGGAACTAAATACTCTCCCACCTGGTAAGCATGCTGTGGGTTGTAAATGGATGTATACTGTGAAATACTTGCCAGATGGTAGTGTGGAGCGTCTGAAGGCYAGACTTGTTGCTAAAGGTTACTCACAGTTGTATGGAGTGGACTACATGGAGACATTCTCTCCTGTGGCTAAGATTGGTTCTATTTGTGTACTAATCTCTCTGGCAGTTATGTATGATTGGCCTCTCTTTCAGCTTGACATAAATAATGCCTTCCTCCATGGTGATCTGGTGAAGGAGGTATATATGGAGCAACCACATGGGTTTGTTGCTCAGGGGGAGGATGGTAAGGTGTGCAAACTGAACAAGGCAATTTATGGGTTGAAGCAATCTCCACGTGCTTGGTTTGGGAAGTTCAGCGAAATGGTGAAGAGTTTTGGAATGAAGCAATGCCAGGTTGATCACTCAGTGTTCAGCTATGACTCAGAAGCTGGGAAGATTTTATTAGTGGTCTATGTGGATGATATTGTCATTATCGGTAGTGATAAATTAGGAATTGACAAACTAAAGGTATTTCTGCAAAATCATTTTCAAACAAAAGRCSTTGGAACATTAAAGTATTTCTTGGGAATAGAAGTTGYCAGGTCAAAACAAGGTGTAAATCTGTGCCAAAGGAAATATGTTCTTGATCTATTGGAAAAAA